ACTCGAGGGGCGGCCCCCCCAGTGCCCAGCACAGGGGCACGGTCCCTGCCCTGCTGCTGCTGGCCACACCACTCCTGATACAAGCCAGAATGCTGTTGGCCAGACTGTCCTGGCTCTGGAAGACTGTGATCATGCAGAGGGATAAAGAAAAAGTCTGGCTTCACCTGGAGTTAGTGTGGGGGAGTCTCAGGAGGGGTGGTACTGAGTCATCTTCATGAACTTGTCATCCAAACTTCAAGAGCTTGGGCTGGAAGCTTTCTCCTGCCTCCTGCGGTACCGCTTGGCTAGACAGCAGCCAGCCAGGTGGTGTGTGCCAGGGAAGGAGAGCAGGGGAAGACCAAGCCAGCCCCTGGGTGAGTCTGGAGGAGAATAAGATTGACCAAATAATACCTGTGGTCTGTCTCAGACTTAAAAAAAATAACCCATGCCAGCGTCCAAAACCTGAATCTGAATCCACAGCTTTTACCTTCCCAGGGGAGAGCACGGCTCGAGGTGCCAGCTGTCTAGGTTGAAGTGGCAGCTCACGGATTTGTGTGTAGCTTTGGAATTTTGTGTTCAGAGGCTAAAGAATATTTTTAGCAGAGAGGCGCAGTTGCTGGTGAGCCCTGAGAGCCGGGATGGGAGCTAGAGGCAGGTAGGGGTGGATGTCCTGTGCCGCTCCCAAGATGCTGAGGAATCCCTGTTTGGGAGGGGGTGTCGGTATTCTGTCCACATGCAGCTGGTAGTTGATGGAATCAGGGATCCCTATAAATAACTGGTCCAGCAGACACAAAAGTTAAATTCCCCAAGCTGCTCGTCATGCCACAGATTCTTCCCTGTTTTACTTCCATGGAGTCTGCTGTACGGCTGGTTCGGGTGGACTCAAACAGCTGCTCCGCTGCACCCCTGCTGACCTCCCCGAGGGTGAAGCCTGGGGGGTTCCACGCAGGCCAGAAGCATCGTGTCCCGGTAAGAGGGGGGAGCCCAGCCAAGTGGTTTGGAGTGAGGCCTCGGGGGGGCCCACAGGAGGGGCCTGCAGTCGTGGTAGGCCTGGCTGAAGGCAGCCACCGCTAGGGAGAGGAGCCTGCCCTGGGC